CCTGTAAATAAAGAGGGCAAAAAGTATGAGTAAACCACTTTAATACATAACAGAAAATTCCATGTACAAGTCTGAGTGAACTTATCACTTAGTTAAATCGATAAATGCTTTCCTCATTTCTTGTACTGGTTGAGTAATGTATCGGTTGAAAGCGGATGATTTCCAACATCCCAATTTTTTTATGATATGTGCAGGGACATTCTGGCTAAATGCGACAGTAGCTCCACCTATTCTAAATGAATGATCGACGAATGCTGATGGATCATATCCCATTTTTTAAAACAGAGTTCTAATGTATACCATGAATTTGGATTTGGTTAGTGGATTGCCGTGTAGATTTAGTAGCGGGGGCGTTCTTATCTTGTACCTTTATGCGTGGATATAGATAGTCAAATAATTGTACGGGGCACCACCTGTTACCTGTGAGGTATATCGGTATTTCGACAGGAGGTCCGGTTTGATTGGTTTTGGAGTGTCGAAGTGTTAACACATAGTGATCTCCAGTTTTGTTTAGGTCTGCCATAGTAAGCATGTTGGTGGCATGCAAAGTTTGGATAGTGGTGAACTCATTTGGTCTTAAGAATCCTTAGAAGGCTAGATAAATAGCTATGTTTAATGTATTGTTTGTTTCATGTTCAAATGGCAGTGTATCCAGTGTATCGGATAATGCTCGAAACTTGTTTGCATCTATAGGTAGGCGTTTAGTGGATTTTGTGCATCGAGTCGCAAGATGCCTTTTAAACTGTTTCTGATAGGATTAGTGGACATGAAGGTGCTGTGACTGGGATACTTATTTGTGAGGTGATATTGTATACCTGTGAGGTATAATTTTATGGTATTATGTGCTAGTTTAAAATGTAGGTGGCAAAAAGAAGTAAATGCCGCCATGGAGTCTAAGGACCATGGGTTACTAATTTTGTACTCTGTGATAAATCTGTTGAAAATAGTAAGGGCTCAGTTATATGTACGTCTGGTGTTTGCAGCGAGTGCTGACTGCACTAGCATTCTGCCGTGTGCCATGAGTGCGTTCAGTCCAGGATAAGGTGCTGGAATAGCGGAGGGTTGTGTGGGTCTACCTCGGCTGTGGGATGTTCTTGACAGAACACTTGAAAATAAGAGCGAGACAGGGCATTGGCTGTGGTGTTGTGGTGGCCCGGTATGTGATCGCACGTGAGGTGAAAGTGTAGAGTGGCTGCCAACCATACTAGTCTCCTGATTAACCTCCATTATGGTCAAAGTGGAAGACCTGCCTTTGTTGATAATCTCACATGTGGCTGCATTGTCGGTGTAGCATTTGATGGTTTATCCCTTCCAAAGGTGTCCCCAGACTTTAGCAGCAGCCACTATAGGGTAAACTTCAAACAGTGCGGAAGTGGTATTAAATGAGGGTAATGAAGTAGTCTCAACTGGCCATGCGCCTCTAAACCACCTGTCACCAAAAATGGCTGCGTACTCTGAATGGGCTGCTGCGTCAGTCCATAATACTGGGGAAAACTCTGTCCATGGAGGAATGAACATATTTATGCCATTCCACTGAAACAAGAATTGTCTCAACATAGCCTGATCTGGCATATTGGTCGAGAGTGACTGTGCTGAGGTCATTAGGTAATTTAGGTAGTAGGCTGAGTAGCTTGGATATGAACGAGCATCATTGAGGAATAATTCTCATTGCAAAGTTCAGAGAACCAAGTAGAGACTGTAGGTTTTTCCGGTTGATAGTACCTCTGTCTAGAAACAGGTCTATCTCTGTCCTGATTCTCTGAGCCTTGTCTGCGGGGAGGCTAGCCTGCATGGTGACCGAGTCTAGGCATATCCCGAGAAAAGACAATTTAGTGACGGGCGCCACTGCAACCGGTACTCCAAGAGTAGCAAATAGGGCTACGGTTTTAGTAATCCTCAGTGGGACAGACTTGTGTTTCTCTACTGTAAGGAAGTCATCTAGATAGTGGATAATGACTGGACAACCCCCTATATTTAAAAACAACCAACATAGTGAATACATCGAATAACTTTGGGCTGCTTTTAGCTCCAAAAGTTAGTCGAACGGCCAAATAGTCTTTTCTTTTTACTCCATGTAGATGCCACAGTGACTGGTGTATTGGGAGCAGCTTGAAGGCATGGAAATGTCTGTTTTCCCTTGCCACGCTGCTTTCCCTGCCTCTAATATTGCCTGTATGGCGTTGTCTACTGTGGCATACTGCAGGGAGAATTCGTCTGATGGTATGAGTGCGTTGAGGCTAGGTGTGACAACAGAATGAGGAGCCGACGGGTCTATGATCAAGCGTTTTTTATTATTGTACTTCCCTGTGTCTATACCTATAGGATTGGTACGCCAACAGGTGAACGGGGGCGTATGAAATGGCCCGATCGTGAAGCCTTTCTGAACTTCGTTGTGAAGGAGTGTATCCACTGTGGTGGGGTCTAAAGATGCCAACTGAAGATTGTTACACTTCAGAGTATCAATGGGGAGTGCAATTAGCCCAGTGTGGAACCCTCCGGTGAAGCCCATGATTAGGAATTTGACTAGGTGCGGGGATGGGTGAGTGGTGAGGTAAAACGCTAGTGTATCAACCTATACCTCCGTTAGACATTTTTTGGGGAATAGGCAATTAGTGCACATTGTTTTGGTGTGGGCTCTGAAGGAGATGGCACAGACATGCAACAACCTGCAGGCACTGAAACTGCAAACGCCCGCGTTGAAGTAGTTGCATACCTGTGCCAGAAAGACTATAGGGCTACCCAGTTTGTCCCTTAAACCTCTTTGTTCAACGTGCTGGTGCTTGGTGTATTGTAGATGGTAGTGCTTGGTGTATTATAGCTAGTGGTGGGTAGGTTGGGTTCAATGGGGCACAAGTTGGTAGTGTGAGAATTGGATGAACAGATAGCAAGTCGGTGGCACACGCCCGGCAAAGTGATGGCAGAATAACTTGGTGTCCATGTGGCTCCAGTTTATTCTTATGTTAAACTGAGCAAACGCAGCCGCCGCTTTAGCCGAGAAGGACTTGTGATAGTCGTAAAATGCAGTGCCACCGTACTTGTTACCCAGGTCTACCAACTTGTGCATGTAGAGGTCAGTTTATTGTCTAACCTGTGGTCTTTAGCCTTGAGTACCACAGACACATCACCGTAGTTGTACGTCTTGTTGTCAATTATGTCTTGGGACGCTATCAGGAGTAACATAAGATTTACATCCTTACCCTCTAATATATCTTTCTTTATATTGGGTTGGACCATGTATGCCGCGGTGATTATGTGTGTGTCTGACCCCTGTGCAGGTGGTGTGAACGTAGCATTACCCTGTGTGGCAGCAATTTGTATGTTGGGTTTGGTGGTTTACGAGATCTGTGGGGTTCACGTCAGCCGGAGTTGAGGATTCCAGCTTCTCCATTCTGTGGTCTAAGTTATTGATAGACGCCAGCATTGCTGACATAGTAGTTCGGATACTGGCTAGAGTGTCGCCAATGCTAGCTTGTGAACTAGGCCCTGGTAGAGGATTGTCTGAGTTGGCCATTAGTAACTTATACAGATCTGCTTTCCTGGCGCTAGCTGGGTACAAAATTCCTCTACGTCTTAATTCAGAGGATATCTTAGGGATTGTCCATGACCTCATAGAACAGGGGCTTGAACTCTCTACATTCTCGCTAATCGCGGTAGTTATGGTTGGAGTAGCTGGTCTGGCTGGAGTACTTGGTAATGAGAAATCCTCTCCTTGATCCGACAGGTGAGACGTGCTGTAAGTTAACAGAGGGTTTTATTCGTGACGTAGTAAGTGCGTAACTGAACACAGTTGTCTGTGAAACCTAAAATAAACTTAATTATATACACTGTATGTGATACTTGCCCAAACATATATATGTATTTATTTTATACCTACCTTTATGAATAGTATCCTGCTTGAGGGGTAATTATGCGTTTTTTGTGTTTTTTAAACCTATTGAGTTAAGGGAATGAAGTGAGAGTTAACTTATTTGACCTAATCAGGCGTAGGCATCTTATATTACTTATGACTCATATTTAGTAAGAGAGTTTAACCCCCCGCATAATGTAATTACTATATATGTGACGTATAGACCTAACTTACAGGTTGTTTGTGGATTCGTAAACATGCGACCGCTTAGCATACCTGTCTATGATGTAATGATATTTTGTGTTGATAGCAGTTCATACTGAAAAAACATTGTATAAAGACAATATCTAAATTTGAGACCTAATTAAGTCCTATATATATAACATATGATTTATGGGTTTGGGATTAAGATTTATCGTAAGCAGTTAGGGAGGGTAAAAAGTCACAACCTGTAAAATAAAGCAACATTTGCAAAGAGTGTGGCAAACCAACTATCATATCGAAATGAGATGCATTTCTATTTAAGCAACAATCATATTTAAGCAACATATATTTTACCTAGACTAGTAAGCATAACCGTTTTGGTGCCTGTTGTAGGCTCATTATTGTTTAACTGTTGTGGCTGTTATGCCCAATTTCTGCCAACAGATGGCGGATTTAGCTTTGAGACTCTGTGTATGAGTCATGTTTCGTACGTTTGTTCATTTAGTGTGTACATTCATGAACTAAGCATTCGTCTAGAAAGCTCCATTTGTATGAATGGTTCGTGAACTTCATCAATATAGATAGTCGTTCGTATTAGTTTTGTTCAAATGAATAACCGTTCGAGTAATAAACCGTATGAATGAATAGCTGTTTATATGAACCTATGCTCACATGAAATAGCTGTTCGTATGAATGGCCGTTCGTATGAGCAGTCGTTCGTATGGATACCTGGTCGTGTAAATAATCGCTCGTATAATAGCCGTTCATGTAATTAACCATACGTATGAATAGCTGTTTATATGAACAGCTGTTCACATGAACAGCCGTTCGTATGAGCAGTCATTCGTATAGATACCCGATCATGTGAATAATCGTTCGTGTACAGAGGTATTCGTACATGTTAGCGTGGTTCGTGTGTAAGCACGTAATTCGTGTGGTTTGTACTCACTGTTTTCCGGGTGCCTGACGGCCAACCCGGAAGTGCGTCGAGAGTACCGGGGACGCAGCGAAAAGGAATCACAGTAAATGCGGACAGTGGGAGGGTATTTTCCTGGGGTCAGAGAAGCTCTGGGAGTCTGGAAACCCACTGGTAGGCCCAGGAAACCACAAGGAAGACTGTCTCTGGAACCAGAAGCGGAAGTGACCAAAAAGTCGTTGGCCTGTTATGGAGGTAAGTCTGAGTTTATATAAGCCGGATCAACCCCTTCCACAACTCCAGGCTCTGCCTTCCCATATATGCAAAATGTCAGTTTGGACTGCTTCTCCCTCTATTGCAATAAAGAAGTGATCCTATACTTCCACTACTCCGAGCTTTGGTTAATTAGAAAATGATTTTTCCATACTTTCTTACAAAAAAAAAAAAAAAATACCAAGCAGTTCTTTCCATTGTTAGTGTGTTAGTATGTATTTATGGGAATGTTTGTTACACATTGTAAACCTTTATTTTACAATGTAGTTTTTTTTGCATTGTTGATTGTTGTTTTACACCTTACTTGTTTAAATAAAGACATTATCATTTTTTTTTTTTTTTTTAAAGAGTGTTTGCCATATGTACATATACTTAAACCAAAGGATGTTGTCACTACTCTGAACTAGTTATCATTCAATCTATACTAGTGGCCAAAATTATGGACACATTTTGGTAAATGCATTACTAAGGTTTGATGGCTCATAATATCAGTTTTTTGTTTTTTTTAAAATAATACTACAAACTTTTATATTATTATAAATATAATTTAATGCAAAATGTAATGCAACACAATATAACTTATTTTAAAGTGAATCTTTTTAATAAAGAGAAATCCTAGATAAAGTGAAGAAAACTATGGTAAAACGTTTCATAACTTTTCACCATGTCTGTTAGTCGAGAAACCTTTTGCTGTAGTTACAGTCTTACAATGGCATCCCATGGAGTGAACCAGGTGTTTTAGTTCACGAGATGTTATAATGTGAAAGCAAAATTGTGTGATTGCTTCTATCACGTCTTTGTTCCTCGGTTGCTTCTGGCTAACTTTTTTATTTTTATTTCTTTAAATCGGCTCTACAGATTTTCTATTGGATTCAGGTCAAGGCTATTACCTGGCCGTTCTAGCAATAGAATATGATTTTCCTGAAACCACTTTTTTTTGCACAAAGTAGCAACAAGGAGCTGAATCCTTTTGGAGTATATAGGCTTAATAATTCTGGAAAAGACCTCAGTTTTGGTCAACTACATGGCTGATGTATATTTGTCATGTACTGTAATAAATCCTGGAAATTAGATACATGGAAATTAGAGCTGATTTATAGCAACACCTTATTGATTCCCTGCCGTGTAATATCAGCACCTGATTGGCTCTCAATATTGCACTCTATGTTATTTAACTGTATATTTGAACTGAATACTGCTAAATAATTTTGCACTTTAAATTTTAGCGCACCTATTTTCTATTTTTAGGTATTATTGGAGTATTTTTTTGGGCTAATACACTGTTTAGGTGCTGCTCCGTTTTAAGATATTCTATTGATTTTTATCATTGGTAGCACCATTTTATTCACTTGTTTTACTGTGTTTTTACTAAAAACCCTCCAGTTATGTACATGTGCATAGGGATTTGGGATAATGTGCACGTAATGTTTTTATTACAGGGAGTGCAGAATTATTAGGCAAGTTGTATTTTTGAGGATTAATTTTATTATTGAACAACAACCATGTTCTCAATGAACCCAAAAAACTCATTAATATCAAAGCTGAATATTTTTGGAAGTAGTTTTTAGTTTGTTTTTAGTTATAGCTATGTTAGGGGGATATCTGTGTGTGCAGGTGACTATTACTGTGCATAATTATTAGGCAACTTAACAAAAACAAATATATACCCATTTCAATTATTTATTATTACCAGTGAAACCAATATAACATCTCAACATTCACAAATATACATTTCTGACATTCAAAAACAAAACAAAAACAAATCAGTGACCAATATAGCCACCTTTCTTTGCAAGGACACTCAAAAGCCTGCCATCCATGGATTCTGTCAGTGTTTTGATCTGTTCACCATCAACATTGCGTGCAGCAGCAACCACAGCCTCCTAGACACTGTTCAGAGAGGTGTACTGTTTTCCCTCCTTGTAAATCTCACATTTGATGATGGACCACAGGTTCTCAATGGGGTTCAGATCAGGTGAACAAGGAGGCCATGTCATTAGATTTTCTTCTTTTATACCCTTTCTTGCCAGCCACGCTGTGGAGTACTTGGACGCGTGTGATGGAGCATTGTCCTGCATGAAAATCATGTTTTTCTTGAAGGATGCAGACTTCTTCCTGTACCACTGCTTGAAGAAGGTGTCTTCCAGGAACTGGCAGTAGGACTGGGAGTTGAGCTTGACTCCATCCTCAACCCGAAAAGGCCCCACAAGCTCATCTTTGATGATACCAGCCCAAACCAGTACTCCACCTCCACCTTGCTGGCGTCTGAGTCGGACTGGAGCTCTCTGCCCTTTACCAATCCAGCCACGGGCCCATCCATCTGGCCCATCAAGACTCACTCTCATTTCATCAGTCCATAAAACCTTAGAAAAATCAGTCTTGAGATATTTCTTGGCCCAGTCTTGACGTTTCAGCTTGTGTGTCTTGTTCAGTGGTGGTCGTCTTTCAGCCTTTCTTACCTTGGCCATGTCTCTGAGTATTGCACACCTTGTGCTTTTGGGCACTCCAGTGATGTTGCAGCTCTGAAATATGGCCAAACTGGTGGCAAGTGGCATCGTGGCAGCTGCACGCTTGACTTTTCTCAGTTCATGGGCAGTTATTTTGCGCCTTGGTTTTTCCACACGCTTCTTGCGACCCTGTTGACTATTTTGAATGAAACGCTTGATTGTTCGATGATCACGCTTCAGAAGCTTTGCAATTTTAAGAGTGCTGCATCCCTCTGCAAGATATCTCACTATTTTTTACTTTTCTGAGCCTGTCAAGTCCTTCTTTTGACCCATTTTGCCAAAGGAAAGGAAGTTGCCTAATAATTATGAACACCTGATATAGGGTGTTGATGTCATTAGACCACACCCCTTCTCATTACAGAGATGCACATCACCTAATATGCTTAAATGGTAGTAGGCTTTCGAGCCTATACAGCTTGGAGTAAGACAACATGCATAAAGAGGATGATGTGGTCAAAATACTCATTTGCCTAATAATTCTGCACTCCCTGTATATGTATTGGAGCTGATTTATACTATAGTCATTACTGCCACCGAGGAGTGGAAGGAGTTTGAGCACAGTGCTTACTTTGGAGGTCTCATCATGGGTTTGGTTGAGTGCTGTAGCCCTTTGGTAGCACGACGGAGCACCTTTAATATCTGTAGACAAAGATGGGAAGGCAATGGGTTGGTTAACAATAATGTAAATTTTGACTTGTGTGTGTAGGTATGTATGTGTATCTGTGTATGTATATGTCTTGTAGGTATATGTTTGTATATGTGTGTCATTGTGGGTACATATGTGTTAGTGTGTGTGGCACACATTCCAGCATTCAAATATCAACACTTCATACAATCACACACCTACCATCAAGCACCAAAACATGCAAACACACCCCTGTAATTTAACGCCAACATTATATACAAACACTGTGAAGGATTGCCATCAATTCATTCGGTTATTCCCTCCCTGCTATTTTATTCACTGGACTCATTTCGTTAATGCTGTTTCATTCGCCAGTTTCATTTATTTTTATTTTCACCCTGGGTACCAATTAGAACATGGAACTCTGTGTAACTGCATGAAAACCGCAATTGAGTGCTCCCAGGTGGCCGCCATTTCGGCATACGAACACATGGTGAGAACAATAGACAGCGGCCATCTTAAACTCCCGAACGCGGCCAGTGGGACATGGTTGTCGAGTGCCTGAAACTGTTTTTGGCATGGCACTCGCACGAACACCTGGTCCTCATGGAAGTCCCATATGAACTATTTCCATGTACAACAGACGAATGGCGTTCGGGAGTTTCAAACAGATGGACAAGGGGAGCACTTTTCACGAATCACCTTGACTATAGCTATGGCGGTTTTCGTGCAAATCGATTCGAACGGAGACCAGCTCTATGGAACTCTGAGTCGGCTACAACCTCGTGGCAAACCGGTCAAACTTCCACACGGTATAACTCCAAAAGTACCGAACGGATTTTCACAAATTTTGAATATGTTGCTCACATCCCCCTCAGCTACCCAGGCATGTTATATTGTTATATTATGTATAAAGTTTATTTTTAAAAATTGTGAAAAATGTTAACTTTTCTGGCCAGTAGATAATTGAGTTTAGTATGCTGCTCAAACTCAATTATCTAGCCTTGCCCAGAGGAGGAACTATGTGTTGCATAAATTGAGCACCCTTGGTCCCATTAAACCAGTCTTGTTCCAGCATTAAGCCTTGGCTCATATGTGTATTATTCGGCGATACCAGCAATATTTTATTCTGTGGGTTACTTGGCGATTTTATTTTATGGGAATAAGGGAACGATTGACGGAACATAGGATTATACCGTCACAAACACAAACCTGCATTCAACACCAACACTGCATACAAAGACACCCCTGAATTCTAATGCACTACACACAAGTATATGCCTTATTTCAGTGGCAACAGTACATACAAACACACAGCTGTATTCAAATGCCAATACTACACAGAAATATACACCTACATTCTCACACATATACTCCATACATAAAACATACTTGCATTCAAACACACAAACTGCTCGTAAATTAAAATCCTGCAAGGATGGGCAAACGGTAGATTCCATCTGGTAATGGATCCTGTGAGATGTAGAACAGATGGAAATCTATCTTTTGACCACCCTTGTGCTAGGGGGTCCAAAAAAAATCCTTGTACCAGGGCCTTCTCTACATTAGTTCAGCCACTGTTGACTTGATGTAATCTGGCCAATATTAACATAGGGGCAATTGGAGCAGAAGCTCCAGGCTAATGTGATCTTGAAATCACATTAGAGGGAGATTGGACCAGGAGTAAGTTTGCAATATATCAGACATATCGTTTATTACAGCTGTTGTGGCAATTGTAAATGCTCTCATTAGACCCATCAACATTATCAGCTCCTGAATCACGCAGAAGTTGTGCTATGTA